GTAAAGAACTAGAGAGCAAATAAAAAGAAAACTCCACAGCAAGTAGAAGGAAGGAAATAGTAAAGATCAGAGCAGAAATAAATGACATAAAAAACAATTCAAAGGATCAATGAAACAAACAGCTAGTTCTTTGAAATGAAAAACAAGATTGATGGACCCTTAGCCAGACTCACCAAGAAACAAAGAGAGAGAACCCAAAATCAGAAATGAAAGAGGAGAAGTAACAACTGACACCACAGAAATTCAAAAGATCGTTAACAACTACTATGAAAAATTATATGGCAACAAATTCGACAATCTAAGCGAAATGGACAAATTTCTAGAAACACATAGTCTCCCAAAACTGGACCAGGAAGAGATAGAAAACTTGAACAGACCAATAACAACTAAGGAAGTTGAAGAGGTAATTAAGACTCTCCCAGCACACAAAAGCGCAGGCCCAGATGGCTTCATGGGGGAGTTTTGCTGAACATTCAAAGAAGAACTAACACCCATTCTCCTCAAACTATTAAAAAAAATTCAAGAAGAAGGCAGACTTCCAAACTCATTCTATGAGGCCAGCAGAATTCTAATTCCAAAACCAGAAAAAGACACTACAAAGGAAAAAACTACAGACCAATATCTCTGATGAACATAGACGCCAAAATAATTAACAAAGTACTAGCAAATCGGATCCAGCAATGCATCAAAAAAATTATTCACCATGACCAAGTGGGATTTATTCCAGGGATGCAAGGCTTGTACTATATTTGCAAATCAATAAATGTGATATGCCGCATAAACAAAATGAAGGATAAAAACCTCATTATCATATCAATAGATGCTGAAAAAGCATTTGACGAAATCCAGCATCCATTTCTGATAAAAATGCTCAGCAATGTGGGAATGGAGGGATCATATCTCGACATAATAAAGGCCATATATGAAAAACCTACAGCCAACATCATACTCAATGGGCAGAAACTAAAAGCATTTCCCTTAAGAACAGGAACATGACAGGGATGCCCACTTTCACCACTGTTATTTAACATTGTACTGGAATTCTTAGCCACAGGAATCAGACATTAAGAAAAAAATAAAAGGGATCCAAATTGGAAAAGAGGAAGTGAAACTGTCATTATTTGCAGATGACATGGTATTATACATAGAAAACACTAAACTCTCCATCAAAAATCTACTAGACTTAATAAATGAATTTGGAAAAGTAGCAGGATACAAAATTAACATCAAGAAATCGACGGCATTCTTATACACAAATGATGAACTCACAGAAAGAGAAACTAAAAAAAACTATCCCATTTACCATTGCAGCAAAAAATTTAAGATACCTAGAAATAAATTTAACCAAAGGACCTAATTGCAGAAAACTACAGGACATTGAAAAAAGAAATAGAGGAAGATATAAAAAAGTGGAAGCACATACCTTGTTGATGGATTGGAAGAATTAACATCATTAAAATGTCCATATTACCAAAATTAATCTATGTATTCAATGCAATCCCTATCAAAATACCAACGACATATTTCACAGAACTAGAACAAATACTTCAAAAGTTCATATGGAACTAAAAAGGACCCCAAATAGCCACAGCAATCTTGAAAAAGAAGAACAAAGTAGGTGGGATCACAGTACTGAATATCAAGTTATACTACAAAGCTTCTGTAATCAAAATATCCTGGTTCTGGCATAAGAACAGGCATATAGATCAGTGAAACAGAACAGAGAACCCAGAAATTGACCCAAATCATTATGCTCAAAGGTGGCAATATTTGACAAAGGAGGCAAGAGCATACAGTGGAGTAAAGACAGCCTCTTTAATAAATGGTGTTGGGAAAATTGGACAGCTACATGCAAAAACTAATGAAACTAGACCATCAACTTACACCATACAGAAGAATAAACTTAAAATAGATAAAAGACTTAAATGTGTCCCGTGAATCCATAAAAATCTTAGAAGAAAATGTAGGCAACAAAATTTCAGACATCATACACAGCAAAATTTTCACTGATGCATCACCTAAGGCAACAGAAACAAAGGAAACAATGAACACATGGGACTACATCAAACTAAAAAGCTTCTGCACAGCAAAAGAAACAACCAGCAAAATGGAAAGGCAACCCACTGTATGGGAGAGCATAATTGCCAATGATACATCAGATAAGGGGCTAATTTCCAAAATATATAGAGTGCTCATACAACTCAACAAAAGGAAGACAAAGAACCCAATTAAAAAATGGGCAGAGGACCTAAATAGTCACCTCTCCAAACAGGACATACAAATGGCTAAGAGACATATGAAGAAATCCTCAACATCACTAATCTTCAGAGAGATGCAAATTAAAACAACAATGAGGTATCACCTCACACCTGTCAGAATGGCCGCCATCAACAAATCATCAAACAAGTGTTGGCCAGGGTGTGGAGAAAAGGGGACTCTAGTACACTACTGGTGGGAATGCAGACTGGTGCAGCCACTATGGAAAACACTATGGTGTTACCTCAAAAAATTAAAAATTGAACTTCCATTTGACTCAGTGATTCCACTTCTAGGAATATACTCTAAGAAGCCTGAAACACCAATCAGAAAAAATATATGTACTCCCATGTTCATAGCAGCACTATTTTTAATAGCTAAGATCTGGAAACAGCCCAAGTATCCATCAGTAGATAAATTGATATAAAAAAAAAAAAAAGCAGTGGTACATATACATAATGGAGTACTATGCAGCTATAAGAAAGAAAGATCTCTTATCCTTGGAGACAAAATGAAGGAAACTGGAGAGTATTATCCTAAGTGAAACAAGCCAAGCAAAGAAAGACACATATCACATGATCTCACTTATTTGTGTAATATAATGCACGTAAGAGTCTCAGAAACAGGGTAGACCCAGAGATGTGGAAGTAGGGTACAGACTGACAACCCTCAGCAGAGGGGAAAAGCGGGGAGAGAAGAAATAAACCACAAAACGTATTGCATGTAAGCATAACTGATGGACATGGACAACAAAGCTGGGGACGTGGTGAGGGAATGGGGAGGAGGGTGTCAATGGGGAAAAAAAGGAGAAACATCTGTAACAAGAATAAATTACTAAAAAGAGAAAAGAATATAAACACATAAGTATAAAATGGATGCTTGAAAAGAAGTTACTGAACACCCATTATTTAGCATCTTCCATATGCATGGCACTATGTTAAACACTGGGAGATGTACATTTATGTATATATAAAACAATGTTCTAAATACATGTTGTAGGCTTTTTTCTTGTGAACCTCAAGAACAAACTTGAAAAGTCAGAATGTGACAATAGTGTAGGCAGAAATCAATATTTCTATTCTTTGTGCCTAGATAGCTTTCTACCACCAACTGATAGATATTCATGGAGATTCTCTCTTTTAAATTAAAAGGCTTGAATGTTCTCATCATATTAAATTGAAGCACCTGAGAACTTATTTATCCTTGTATTTTATCGTACGAGCTGTGTAGAGATGAGAAAAATGCCATATTTACAAATATCCATCTATGGACTGCTATTCTTTTCCATCTTTAAATAGCAAGTTAGTTCTATCCTTGTTTTGTTTTATACATGTGCTTTGTTGAAAAGGCCATAATTTGCTCTGCAGAGTCTTGATTCCCATCCTTTTGGCAAAGTTGTTCAAGGTCATCATGGTCCATATTCATCAATCATGTGTGCCTCATGGATTTCCTCTGTCAGTAGTACATATCAGTATGATTAATAGTTCAGGATTCATATTTACGGATCTGATTGGGTAACTGTCGTTTCATTTGTTGGAACTTATAATTCAAAACATTGATGAAGTTGTCCAAGAAAAGAGGGCAATGCAAGTCAGTTTTACTTATTATAAATAACAAAACTTCATCATTTGTAAATGCAAATAGGCCCTGTACTCTAGTGCAATCCCTGGGCCTCAGTTAAGAGATTAGGAAGGGACATTAACTCTTTAAAGTGACTATACCGCAGCATTAAGTGGTAGCTCTTCACTGTGAAAGAGTGACTATCACACTGTGTTGTGTTGAAGATTTCATTACTGGGAGAATGAGGATTCATGAGTGCTTTAATAAAACCTTATTTTTGTTCTAACAGGAAGTAATAGTTATTTATTTACTTTAAAAATATATTTACTTATTAATTATAAAATTATTTAATTCTTTACTCATATAAAGAGATGTACTATTTTTATAAGGATCCTAGATTTTTTTAATTAGAATTAAAATAAAGAACATCAAATAAGTTTTCAAAAATCTCCTCAAATCTTACTGTTCAAAGATGATTCTTGGTCTTAGAGGAGATCTTAGAGAGACATAAGGGACTACAGAGTATGGAAAAGAGTCAATGTTTTCTAGAAGTTTAGTAAATGATAAAAGTACATTTGAAGTCAGTGTATTTTTAGTAACCTGTGTTGACATAGCTGGCTTACCTTTTTGAGAGAAAACAGCTGATTTCTAATCTCACTCTTGATATTTGTTAGTTTCAAACATAGCAAAGATTTCTTTGTAAATATGAAACTATAAAATTATTCTGATAAAACATGTTACTACTTTTAAATGGTTTTAGAAGGCCTTTCAACGTATGTCAGAAACCCAGAAAGAAAAAACAAACAAACAAACAAAAAACTCATTAAATTTGACTAAATAAAATGGAAAAACTGCAGTATATATATATAAAAAAAAACACGCACACACAAAAAAAACACTATAAAAATAATTGATGAGACTAAAAAATAAAACAAAATGGGAGAAAATGGCAATAATAAAAAAGAGTTAATTTTGTAATATTCTGAAAGTTTTTACATTTAGTAATCAATAAAAATAAGATAGAAACTACAAAGTATTAATAAGCATGTACTGTACTTTACTAGTATTTAAAGAATCCATAGTATATACTTTATTATTGTTCTAGAAAATTCCAGTACAATCAACAAATAGAAAGAATTTTGTTGTCAATAAGCTTGTGAACCTTAGTTGTCTCTCTCTCTCTCTTTTTTTTTTTTTAGTTAATGTGGTATTTGGTCTGCAAGTTGTCTCTTTACCTGGGGAAGGGGTGGGATAAGACCAGCAATATCATATATGACTATATGTGGAAGTTCAAGAATGTCTTGGAATTTTCTAGATTTTACATATAAGAGACAATACTCTATTTATATTATGAGATGTATTTGTAATTTTAACAAAGAAATAAACAACACTGTTTAAAATATAATTTTTGAATACATTTTCCTGATTGATATTTATGCCTCAACCACTATGAAACTCAGACTGTTATTAAAAAGAATCTTTCCATCTTTCTTCATGCTGAATTCAGGCTCTTGTAGATCTTTTGCAATTTCTGCTTTGAGGTCAGGTGGTGCTGTTGTACTGAAGTTGCATGTTTCTGTCAAAAAATCCCAAAGCAGTTCCCCATTTTCATTGCCATCAATAAAACAGTCAGATATGTCCATGGTGGACAGAAGGTCATAACATTCATACTTGGTCCCCAATTTGTCCAACATCTGAGTGAGGTCAGTGGATGTGACATACTGGCAGAGGTCATCCAGGGGTAAGCGGGGTCCATACTTTCTCCACAGCTTGTCCCAGGCACTGGTTCCTGTGAGACAGATCAAAGTTTGTGTTTTCATTTATTCTTTCACTTACCTACTCTGCCAGGCAGTACATTAGATACTTGGGATAAAGCAGTCAATTAAAAAAAACTATCCTTGCCTTTGTGTAGCTTAACTCAAGGAGTGATGGTTTTGGGGGTAGAAAAAGAGAAGGTTAAATACATAAACCATATATCAGACTGTGCTAAGTGCTATTAAAAATAAACCAGAGCCCAGTCAGTGTGGCTCAGTGGTTGAGCATCGACTCATACACCAAGAGGTCGCTGGTTCGATTCCCAGTCAGGGCACATGCCCAAGTTGTGTGCCTGAACCCCAGTGGGAAGCATGCAAGAGGTGGCCAATCGATGTTCTCTCTCATCAATGTTTCCATCTCTCTCTCCCTCTCCCTTCCTCTCTCTCTAAGTTTTAAAAAATTGAAAAACACAAATCAGAAAAAAGAATAAGGAGGGGCAAACTCTTGGATGTGTTGCTGTTTTATAAAAGGTGGTCAAAACAATCTCTTTTTTGACATGACCTTTGAGCACAGGTGTGACAAGCTAGGTAGATATATCAGAGAGAAGATTACTCCAGGATGAGGGAAGAGCAATTGCAAAGGACTTGAGAGGCAGGGACATGCTTGGCATGTGTCAGAACTGGCTGGGAAGCCAGTGAGACTGGAATTGAGTGAACAAGGGGGAAGGTGGCAGGAGATGGGAAGCCATTGAGGTGCTGTCTGATAGAACTTTATGGACCGATGGGCATGACAGAGAACATTCTCTATTTTCATTGTCCCATATGGTAGCCATTTGTGGCTATGGAGCCTTTTAATTGTGGCTAGTGTGACAGAGGGAATGCATTTTAAGTTATAATTCATCTTAAGTCATTTAAATTTAAACTTTAGTATCCAAATGTGCTTCCATATTGGACATTAGAGTGACATTGCATTTTAATAAAATCACTGTGACCGCACAGATGAGAATCAAGTGTAGGGGCATAAGGACAGAAGCAGGGAGAACAGTAAGAAGGCTACTGCAATAACCGGGTGACAGATGATGGTAATGTGGACCATCAAGCTTGGAGATGATGATAAGTGATTGGATTTTTTATGTTACAATTTGCCAACAATTTTGATGTTGAGTATGAATAAGAAAATTTTTTTAAAAAGTCATTAACAACCCAAATAATTTTGGCCCAAGCACCTAAAAACACAGAATTGCAATTATTGGAAATGAGCAGAATGAGAAGTAGTTTTAAATGTATCATCAGGGTGATTTCAGACATGTAAATTTGAGATACCTATTGGACATTCAGATGGTGATAGGAGGAAAGCAGTTGTTTGTGTTAGTTTTGAGTTTAGAAGAGAACATCTAAGAGTAAAAACTGTAATCAAAAGAAAGAACACAATAAATACAATATTGACTGGGTAGCTTCTCGTGTCTATCCACTCACTACACTCTGCTTTGGACTGCCAATAACTAGGTTGATTTCTACAAATTTTGTGCCCAACTTCAGAGGATGTTTTAGCAATGTCTATTGTGACATTTTAATTTTGAAAACCCAGACTAGTATAGAAGCTAAGAGAAGCCCAGTGCAGCAGCTGAGGTGAGAGACACATAGGTTGTTGGACTGTTCTTCTGATACTTCAAAACTAAGATGAGGTCTGTTACGTATACTCTCAGAATCTCAGTTTTATCATCTATAAACTGGGGACAATCATACTAGCAACTGAGAGTATTAAATGAGATACTTTAGTCAATCATTGCACAATACTAAGCACATGGTAGGTGTGTAATAAGTACTTACAACATAAATGAACATTACATAAAATTAGTTTGATAATGTATTTCTACTGGTTGTAATCTTGAGACTGTCAAAAGCAAAATTGCTGTTCAGAAATCTATGATTATAATAAGTCAAAACAAGTGAATATTGATCCGTAGACCTTCTAATACAGGCATGTAATGCTGGGCTATTGCATACACAGTAGGTACAGTGAATTAAGTGTAGTCACTGAAGCCCAACCGCTCAAATGTAAAGCCTGGCTTTCCCTCTTGCTAGCTTTTTGAACCTGTGCCTCAGTTTTAACCAACTGTAAAACAGGAATGATAATAGAATCTATCCACAGAATTTCTGCAAGGATTAACTGAGTTAAAAATGTAAGGCACTTAGAACCATGACTGGCACATGGCAAACATTGTTAAAATGTTAGAATGTGATTAAGCTGGACTTGGCCTAAGCAATATCAAAAAGAATCTATGTTTTCTATGAACTTTCAGGATTAAAAGTAAAGATTTCAAAGGTTGAATTTTTTTTTTTTTTTTTTTTGATAAGGTGAGTATTTATTTTTTTCAAGGAGCCCAAGTTTATTTTATTGGAGAATGGTAATTAGAAACCAGTATCTGGGGACTTGTGCTAACTTTTGTACTTTTTTTATTTTTATTTTTTTTATTTCCCCATTGACACTCTTCTCCGCATTCCCTCACCCCGTCCCCAGGTTTGTTGCCCATGTCCATTGGTTATGCGTACATGCATATAAGTTCTGTGGTTTATCTCTTCCCTCCCCTCACCACCCCATCTTCCGGGGGTTGTCAGTCTGTACCTTATTTCCATGTCTCTGGTCTACCCTATTCCTCAGACTGTTATGATCATTATATTCCACAAATAAGTGAGTATTTGTCTTTCTCTGCAGACTTGTTTCGTTTAGGATAATACTTCCCAGTTCCCTCCATGTCATCATAAAGGATAAGAGATCTTTCATTCTTACAGCTGCATAGTACTCCATTTTGTATATGTACCACTGCTTTTTTATCCATTTGTCTACTGATGGACACTTGGGCTGATTCCAGATTTTAGCTATTATGAATAGTGCTGCTATAAACATGGGGGTACATATATTCTTTCTGGTTGGTGTTTCAGGTTTCTTAGGGTATATTCCTAGAAGTGGAATCACTGGGTCAAATGGAAGTTCAATTTTTAATTTTTTGAGGTAACACCATAGTGTTTTCCATAGTGGCTGCACCAGTCTGCATTCCCACCAGTAGTGTAGTATACTAGAGTCCCCTTTTCTCCACACCCTCGCCAACACTTGTTTGATGATTTGTTGATGGCGGCCATTCTGACAGGTGTGAGGTGATACCTCATTGTTGTTTAATTTGCATCTCTCTGAAGATTAGTGATGTTGAGGATTTCTTCTTATGTCTCTTAGCCATTTGTATGTCCTGTTTGGAGAGGTGACTATTTAGGTCCTCTGCCCATTTTTTAATTGGGTTCTTTGTCTTCCTTTTGTTGAGTTGTATGAGCACTCTATATATTTTGGAAATTAGCCCCTTATCTGATGTATCATTGGCAATTATGCTCTCCCATACAGTGGGTTGCCTTTCCATTTTGATGGTTGTTTCTTTTGCTGTGCAGAAGTTTTTTAGTTTGATGTAGTCCCATGTGTTCATTGTTTCCTTTGTTTCTGTTGCCTTAGGTGATGCATCAGTCAAAATTTTGCTGTGTATGATGTCTGAAATTTTGTTGCCTATATTTTCTTCTAAGATTTTTATGGATTCACGGGACACATTTAAGTCTTTTATCTATTTTAAGTTTATTCTTCTGTATGGTGTAAGTTGATGGTCTAGTTTCATTAGTTTTTGCATGTAGCTGTCCAATTTTTCCAACACCATTTATTAAAGAGGCTGTCTTTACTCCATTGTATGCTCTTGCTTCTTTTGTCAAATGTTAATTGAGCATAGTGTCTTGGGTCCATTTCTGAGTTCTCTATTCTGTTCCATTGGTCTATATGCCTGTTCTTGTGCCAGTAGCAGGCTGTTTTGATTACAGTAGCTTTGTAGTATAACCTGAAATCTGGTATTGTGATCCTGCCAACTTTGTCTTTTTTTTTTTTTTTCCCCCAAGATTACTGTGGCTATTCAGGGTCCTTTTTAGTTCTGTAAGAGGTTTTGAAGTATTTGTTCTAGTTCTGTGAAATATGTCGTTGGCATTTTGATGGGGATTGGACTGAATCTAGAAATTGCTTTGGGTAATATGGACATTTTAATGATGTTAATTCTTCCAATCCATGAACAAGGTATGTGCTTCCACTTTTTTATATCTTCCTCTATTTCTTTTTTCAATGTCCTGTAGTTTTCTGCAAATAGGTCCTTTACTTTTTTGGTTAAGTTTATTCCTAGGCATCGTAATTTTTTTTTCCATGATGGTAAATGGGATTGTTTATTCAGTTTCTCTTTCTGTGAATTCATCATTGGTGTGTAAGAATGCCATCAATTTCTTGACATTAATTTTGTATCCTGCTACTTTTCCAAATTCATTTATTAGGTCTAGTAGATTTTTGATGGAGTCTTTAGGGTTTTCTTTGTATAATATCATGTCATCTGCAAATAATGACAGTTTCACTTCCTCCTTTCTAATGTGGAATCCTTTTATTTTTTCTTCATGTCTGATTGCTGTGACTAACACTTCCAGTACTATGTTAAATAATAGTGGTAAAAGTGGGCATCCCTGTCTTGTTCCTGTTCTTAAGGGAAATGTTTTAGTTTCTGCCCATTGAGTATGATGTTGGCTGTAGGTCTATCATATATGGCCTTTTTTATATTGAGATATGATCCCTCTATTCCCACATTGCTGAGCACTTTTATCAGAAATTGATGCTGGATTTTTTTGAATGCTTTCTCAGCGTCTATTGATATGGTCTTGTGGTTTTTAATCATCTTATTTATGTCGTATATCACATTTATTGATTTGCAAATAATGTACCAGCCTTGCATCCCTGGGATGAATCCCACTTGGTCATGGTGAATAATTTTTTTGATGTATTCTTTGATCCAATTTGCTAGTATTTTGTTAATTATTTTGGCATCTATGTTCATCAGGGATGTTGGCCTGTAGTTTTCTTCCTTTGTAGTGTCATTTTCTGGTTTTTGAATTAAAATTATGCTGGCCTCATAAAACAAGTTTGGAAATCTTCCTTCTTCTTGAATTATTTGAAATTGTTTGTGAAGAATGG